CCTCGGCTCCCAGTCCGAGCCCCACCAGGCCAGGCATCGCACGGCGCTTGGCAAACATGGCGTCCGGGTTAAAGATGCGCGTGCGCGTCTCCGCCTCGGCCTGCGGCAGATGCGCCAGTCCGAGCTTCTGCACCCGGTCCACCGCCTGCGCCGCCGTGCCGCGCGCCGTGTCCTCCACCGAGCGCAGTGCCAGCTCGAGCGACGAGGTGAGCGCATGGCGCACCTCCTGCGCATACTCCCACACGTTGAACAGACCCGGATAGGCGGGCAGCGTCACCGCCTCCACCGCGGGCTTGCCGTTGCCAATGAGGTCGATGGCCGAGCTGAGCTTGCGCTGCGCCTCCTGCATGACCGCCGTCACCGCCTCGTCCTCCTCGCTCTCCACCACGCTCTCCAGCTTGTGCTGCGACGCCTGGCACCGCGCCAGCTCCGGACGCGCCACCTCGAGCGCCTTGATCGCCTCGGCCAGCTCAATCTGCGCCACCTGCGTGTTGATCTTGGCGAGGAAGGCAATGTCCGACAGCAGGCGCACCATGTACGTCTTGGACGGCAGCAGCTTCGACTTGGCGCGCTTCAGCAGCACAAAGTCGCGCAGCGCCGCCTCCAGACGCGCAAAAGCCTCCAGACTCTGCCTGCTGCGTGTATCGACGCTCAACGCACCGCCCCGCACCTTGAGCCCGAGCTCCTCCGACGGCGTGTCGGGCGCCGCGCCAGCCTCGGCGTCGTCTGCCTCGGCGCCGAAGACGGCCTGCGAGTCGACAAAGTGGACCAGGTTGGCGGCGTCGTCGTAGGTGCGCGGGCTGAGCTGGCGGATCTGGTCGAGCACGAGCTTGCGGCACTTGTCCTTGTTCTTGATGGACTCGAACTTGTTCACCACGATGAAGACGAACGCCTTGTCGTGCGACGCGTTCCACAGGAACTCCTTGGCCGAGAGCGTAAAGTGGTTCTCTGCGCTCACGACAAACACCACCACGTCAATCTCCTCCTGGCGCGCAAACAGCGCCGTGGTCTTGAGGCTGTCGCGGTTGAGGCCGGGCGCGTCGATGAGCGCAATGTCGACGATGCCGTTCTTGAGCAGCGAGTCCTGGGTGGCACGCGTGTCGCGCGCGTAGCACTTGAGGATGGGCGCATCTTCGGGCGACACCTCCTCGGCCTCGGCCACGATCTGCTCGATGTCGTCGAGCGTGTGGCGCGTGAAGGTGGAGTGGTCGCGCGCCGAGTACTTGACGCCGTGCTTGAGCATGTGCACCTCCTCGACGTCGTTGTTGCTTTCGGATGCGTCGAGCACCTCGCAGAAGACGGTGGTGCATGGCTGCTGGTCGATGGGCATGAGCGGACGACGCAGCAGGGCGTTGACAAAGGTCGACTTGCCTGCGTTGAGGTCGCCGGTGACGAGCACCTTGGACTGGGTGTCGGTGAGACGCTGCTTGAGGTTCTCCAGATGACGCTCCGACTTTTCCATGCGTCCGTCGAGCAGCTGGGCAACGGAAGAGCGTTCGAGCGAGCGGACGAGTGCGTGCGGATCGGCAGCTACGGAGCCGACGCGGAGGTCGAGCTTGAGCACCGACATGTCTGTGGACTCGTCAGAGTCTCGGTCGTCGTCGTCGTGGTGAGCGGTGGTGGCGTGGCGTGCCGGTGTGTTGGGCAGGCTGGCGTGCGCTGCGGGCTGAGCGGTGTAGGCGCGCATCAACGCGGGAGGCGAACGACGTGGCGTCGAGTCTGTGGAAGAGGAGCTGGAAGACGGGTGTGCGTCTGCCTCGTCGAGGCTGTGAGAGAGGGCATTGGACTGGGTGCGCCTGTGCTGGCCGAGCTGCGGACGCGACGGACCGGGCTTCTGTGCGTTCTCATCGTCGGCAGTGGCGTAGTGGATGAGACGCTTGTTCTTGTTGAAGTCGCGGAGGTCTGCGAGCAGGTGGCTGGTGTTGTCGATGGCGCCGAGCAGCGTGTCGCGCGATTGCTCGAATTCGGACTGGTGCTGCGCAAACGTCTGCTGCGCGTCGTTGTTGGCACGAGCCTCGTCGATCTGGCGCTGCTTGGCGTGGAAGAGGTCGCCGCCGTTCAAGGAGGCCGAGGCGGAGGGCGATGCAGCCACGACATCGGCCGTGTGAGAGCGCACTGGCTTCTTGGCGGGTGTGGCGTACATCTGTGCTGAGTTGTTGTCGGACATGGCGAAGAGTATGCTCTGGGCGAGAAATGTAGATCAGAGGTGGGAGCGCATTGCACGACCAACTTTGCAAAGGGAAGGGTGTGCGTAGGCTGTATACGATGTGGTAGCGAGTAGGCAACGATGACGAGCGAGCCGATGACGATGGCAAAGGATTTCAGTTGCAATCGCACAGAGGCGCGAGTTCGAACGTACGCTGACAGAGCCTACAGCTGAGCGCGCAATTCTGTGTGATTTGGAGCCCACCCCTCTCAACCCGGTCCATCCGATGCGCGCGTGGCGGCGGCTCAGCAAAAACTTTGGATCGGCTGACCACCGCCTGAGAACGCGACTCGGCCGGAACGCCGTCTCCCTTCGCGTACGCTTTGCAAAACACTACAAAAAAACATCTACAAAAGCTTGGCTGAACCCCCAAAAAGGACGCGGATGCTGCGACAATGTATGAGTAGCCGGCGTAACATGTTTTGATGAACAATCCGTCTTTTCCGTTGCTCGTTCATTCACTCAAGGGGCCTGTTCATACACGGTCGAAGGTAGCGGGCAGGAGGAGTGCAAATTGTCGTGATGGCTGGCATTGCACTCGACCGATTAAGAGGCTGCTGTCCGATAGGTAAGGCCATGCAGCTTAGACCAGGTCGAAGAACTTCATGTCGATCTTGTTGGTGAGATCGCGGGCCTGGCCCATGAGGGCCTGGAAGTCCTCGCCGGCGCGGTGCTTGGTGGTGGCGACGTCGCTGCCCTGGTTGTCGTATTGCTCTGTCATTGTGTATGCAAGATGTTAGTGGAGATGTGGTGTTTGGCCTGTGCCAAGGGCGCGTGGACTCACCAAAGACGACGATGGTGTTGGGGTCGTCGCGGCTGCGGCCGGGGATGTAGTTGAGGCAGTGGGGCTCCTCGTCCGAGTTGGCGCGGGCGGCGACCTTGTTGAGCATGGCGACGATCTTGTCGGCCTCGGCGGCGCCCTTGGCCTCGATGCTGGCGTCACATTGTGGATCGGACGCAAGACGGTGAGCAACGTCGCCTTGAGTCATTCGCCTTGCAGTGAATGGGGCGATACTTACGTGACCCACATGGAGAACTTTCCGGTAGGAGCAGACATTTTGAGCGATGATTGACGGATTGGAAGGGATGGCGATCAGGGATGGTAGAGGAGAAGAAAAGCTGGAATTCTTTTCAATCACGGCTTACCTCCGGGCCGTCCAATGAAGTGAGGACGGGGATAGTCGAGTTTTGGTAGCCGGCGCTGGGTTGAGCTTTTTGGCAGTTTGGTTAGCCGAACCGGGCCCGCCATGCACAAGCCAGCCGGTGCATCAAAAATCCCACTCATCAAGTTAGGAACGGTCTAACACTGTATAATATTCAAGCTGCACAGCGACGCAATCAACATGGGCAAGCGGTGAATGCGCCGCCGCTCGCATATCCGTCCAATCGCATCCGAGACAGTGCCATCATCATTGTCGCTCATCGTTGTGTCATATGAGCAGACGGCGCTGGGTGGAATGCTCCAAGGCGGGTCTGCCTAGTGCGCATTACAGTGCGATACTCTGCGGTGGCTCATGGCCGAGGCTTGAGAAGAGGAGGGATGTCAGCGTGGGGGGGAATGGGAGCGACTGTGGGGAAGCTGGCTGCTGCACCGAGTCACAAGCGATTGACGGCCAAAAAGTCGAGTTCGAATTGGAGAGAGAGAGCAAATTCGAGCGAAACTTGCCGTGAGTAAAGCGAAGGCATCCGGACAGTGGTGACGCCGGCGCTGCAGCTCCAAATGCAGGTGGATTTTCGCAGTCGGAGGATTAGAATTGCGTTTCGCATGCAGCTGTCCAACCGCACACGACAGGCAAAGAGTTGATCCTATCTTTGTTCTTCCACCACCACCACCACCACCACCACCACC